GGTTACAGTGTTGCTCACTTTACCGTTTCGATCGCGCGTGTGTTACAGCTGAAAATGCACCCTGCATGGGTGCATTAAAACGAATTCTCGACTTGGGTTGGCGAGACAATGATCTTAGAATTCAGTCTGCCCCGACGCACTGGTGGCACCATTAGACAGCACACGAATCGAGTCATGAATGCAACCATTGCCCTCAGTCAGACAATTGCTAGTTGTACAAATTGATCAGGCCTCCGATGGTATTCCTGGTGTACAATGGGGAAGATATATTTATTCATTTCTTTACTTATATTTGCATGCATTGTGTGAAATGTCTGTAAATATCAACCAATTATTGTTTGCAACATCAGGCAAAGGATGGCATTGCACCTCCCCGGAGGTTGCGCGGTTGCGCACGAGCTATGCAGTAACAGCCATCTCAGCATTCGGCAACTTGCGCACCGTATGCTGTGCATCGGATAATGAAGGAAATAAAATTCCGGCGATGAAGTGCACTATAGATGCAAGTGTTGAACGCATGCGATTGACAGAAGCGCCTGGAATTCGCCTGTTTCTTTTTAAACAGTCTGGAGATGCATACAATTTTGTTCACCGTTGAGGCAGTGTTTCCTCTGCATGGCGAAGATACGCAACATGTTTGAGCAACAACCAACCCACAGCAATGTAGCGCTTCACGTGTGCAGCATAGCGCGTAGCTCATGCTCTGGACTGGGTTTACTGGTCGAACATTCATTGGGCCGTTTTTCTTTTACAGTAATGTGTCCAGTAGGTTGTCATTGAACAGTACCAATGTCTGACATTTCTTAACATCCTCATACATGGGAATGTTCCAGAGTAGCGTCATTCTGCAGCTACCGTCGGAAGGGTTACTGAATAACATTTGGTGGCAGCAGGATGGCGCACCTGCACATTCGGTGCAACCGGTTCCTGCCTACCTGAACGAGACATTCGGTGGACGTTGCTTTGGTCGCGGAGGAACGATAGGGTGGCCTGCGCGACCACCGGATCTGAATCCCATGGACTTTTTCCCCTGGGGATACTTAGAGCACTGAGTTAATAGAACGAAACCCAAAAACGTGGATGAACTGAAAGAGAACATTGTGAACGAATGTAGGCAGATTTTATCGGAGATATTGCAAAAATTGTTCACCAACACCATCCGGCGAATGCTCCTCTGTAGCCAAAACGACGGAGGACACTTCGAACATCTAGTTCGTTGATATTTACAGACATTTCACACAATGCATGCAAATATAAGTAAAGAAATGAATAAATACATCTTCCCCGTTGAACATCAGGAATACCATCGGAGGCCTGATAAATTTGTACAACTAGCAATTGTCTGACTGAGGGCAATAGTTGCATACATGACTGAATTCGTGAGCTGTGCGTCGGGACAGACTGAAATCTAAGCTCATTGTCTCCTCAAGTCAAGTCGAGAATTCGTTTTTATGCACTCATGAAGGGTGCATTTTCAGCTGTAGCACACACGCGATCGAAACGGTAAAGTGAACAACACTGTAACCTTACAATATGCTCCCGGCAGTATGATTCCATTTAGCAGCGAATGCAGTCTAATAAAAGCTTACGGGTTTGTTGGAAGCCAGTCATGGGGCCATGAGCACTTTTGTGGCGACAGCAATACGGCGCCCATCGACCAGTCATCACATACGGCCAGGCTATTTTTCTCACTTGCTAGCACAGCGACCAACTAACTACTTCGAAGAGAACTCTTTTGTTGGCGTTTCACCTGCGGGAAGGCCGACTATCGATCTGTCGAAGCACGACAAGTTCAGTGCGGCTGCTATGTCTGGCTCACGTCCAGTTCACACAGCCGAACGGCTTGCGGTGCGTTGGTCTTGCCCTGCGGTCGAAGCGTGACGCATTCATTGCCAGCCGAACGGCTCGGTGTGCTTTGTGATCGTAGGCGCACATGCCGCGCCTCTGTGCCCCATATAACTCCTGTCGGCCAGCAGTTTGCGTCATTGGACAGTTAGCACGTCAGCGTACGTGGTTACGTCAACACCTGAGTGCAGCTGCTACTAGCACCGGACATGATTAATAAAACATCATGTACAGTCCTCATGATGACTTACCGGGATTCAATAACCAAGTGGCTGATCGTCTCCAGTCAATGATCTAAGTACATTGGACGAACGTCCAGACACAGGTAAATTGGCTCACCAACCAGGCAAACAGAACCAGCTGCAGTTCAATAACAAATCATCTGATGGACACCGGACACCAGGTTGACAAACAAACCGCTTTTGACTTCTTGTACAAAGTACCATCACACCCGAACCGCAGAATAAGGGATCGTCTGCTATCTGGGAGGCGGAACGCATAATACTGATGAATCCAGACTTAGCCGTCCAAAAGAAAATGGTGCAATCACTATAGTTACCTTGGCCTGCCACGTACGAAAGGAGGGTATCACATCCAAGCACTCAAATAGCGTCTGTGATCTAGTCCCCTGACCAGTGCCGGTAAACCACTTTGAACCGTTTAATCAATTGACCTGCTGTACAGCAATCTAACCTTTTCTAACAGCGTCTATTTTTGTAACGATCTGATGACAGACTAATCGAAATCAATTGTTTGTCGAAAATTTCCCCCTCATTCTCCTATTTGTGATTCACAGAAATGGGCAACTTACATGAATTACCGAAAACATGTTTGCTTACGCGGACTCCTTAGACTTCATTGTGAAGGGGCAATCGTTCCCTGAGTCGAAAAATGGTACTAAACCCAGCATTGTTTTAACCATTGCACATATTTGGCCTCCACGACATGCGCTGACATGCTGTTCTATACGTTTGCCACTTTCTGTTCAAAGCACAGGAGTGGGTAACTCGTTTCAGCGCCACGAGCTTGTAACGGTGTCCACGTGTGTCTGTGATATTCACACGTGGAGTAGATACCACAACATGTGGAAATCACCGAGATATAATATGCGGTAAGTTACGATGTGATCGACTCGCACCTGACGATAGACCAGGGTATACAGTCACAGTCTTCGTACGGTGAACCACGTAAACTGGATGGGTCTGATTACCGACATGTTGAACCCGTTCGCTCTTTTGTGCCTCGACTCGGTGTTCGAACAATACGCGAGGAGCCGTACTCTGGTATTGATTTTATGATGAAAGAGTCGAGTTGCGACTTTTCCAGATCAACTACAGGAGTTGCGTTTTAGCAACTTAAGCAAATATATTCTTCGTGTTGCCCAAGGACTTCAACTAGCCGCGTGAGAGTACAGCTGTGTTCTTCACAGAAAGTGTGAAATGTAGGTTCGGTCGTCACCACGCTTCCCGGGTTTATATACGCCGGCTTTACCTAGTTGACCGGCAGACTTCTGCAGATCACATGGAGAGGTAGTTGACGTCTTTCTGTAGTAGACCGCAATCGTTGGGAGTATTATTCTCTCCCCAAATCTCTCGGTTGTTTGCGAACAGGATACAAGGTAACCGACAAAACTGATAGATGTGGATCAAGAACAGATTACACCCCAGTATTCACTTGTGGCTATGCCACTAGTCGAGGGATACCAACCAGTTGCATGGTCGACGTCCTTTATCTTCCACTTTCGTCCAGAAATTTATTGCCGGAAATCTTCACTTCCGTCGGACCATTATTTTTATGTCGTATATTTTATGTATCCAGATAAGTTGTCTGTTCCCAGTTCGGGTTGCATTGGTCCACATGCGATACAGGAGGAAGCGTGAGTCCTGTAATACCATAATGGTCTTTAGAACATAACATTCCGCAAATGATGGGCTCATTAGCTTACCGAAAAGTGGCTATCTAGCCACTAGTGGCTAGATAGCCACTTTTCGGTAAGCTAATGAGCCCATCATTACTGCTGGATGATGTTTTCGATTTCCATTCATGCTGTGGCCCCAAATGTCGATCTCATATAACGGCATGTTTGCCTACTTGCTTGCACTGTAGTTAAATCAGCTTTTCCATTTCACTTTGCACTGTGAAGAAGTAGTCACTTCGCTCGTTTACCATTATGTGTAAACGTGATATTGAATCTTATTGGTGGTCAGACGAATTCTTTCCCCTTCTGATGATCTCAATCACCCTCTCTCCTTTGAAAATCGTTGTTTACCAAGAGCTGCTGACAGGGAATGATGCCAGTGTCCCTGCAACTCAAACAAGGGCCAGGTGATTGTGATCAATTCAGCTCGTCAAAATGATTAGGAACGAATAAGTTACCCTGTTTCGAGCACTTTGTACGTATGACTGCCCACGACCCTGAGGAAGTGGTTTCTTAGCTTATCCTATTTTTACTTCGTTAGGCTCAGCTCGGTTTGATATCAGAAGCTAAAGTCGCTGATACCTAGACTGGTTGCTGCTGGTCTACTGAGCCATCCGACATGAAGACAAGCCATGCAGCTCGTGTTTCCCACTGCGGCTCTTGGACCGTACCCTGCACCGACAAACTCCTCATCACACTACCCGTATGTATGGTGAGATAACACGGATTGAAGACGCAGTATCACCAATGCCGTCCTATCGATACGCTTTGGTCAACTTTTTGTCACTGCGGTCTCGTTAAAGTGTAGGAGATTTGATGTGGAATGTGCCTAGGGCATTTTCTTTGTGTATTGATTGCCTATTCTCCACTATTTTAAACCATTTATTAAAGTACTATGTGCGTATGACAGCGAAGTATCAGTGAACCTCACAAATGTGCCGCTCTTGATAAGGAAGATGTTAGTTGTGGCTCACCCACCTCCAAACAAGCGCACTTTCTTCAGTTTCATCTTAGCAACAAACCCTCATTAGATAATTAATTCACACTTATGACATATCCTAATGTAGTTTGCGAAATCCACTGTGTGTCAACTCCTGAGGTTCGATTACGCTTCGAAGTTCAGCTTCACCAGATACTCTGACTACTTCCAGGTTATCCACCAGGGAGTTGCTTGCATTTTTCGTCTATCTTGGAAGTTGCAGCCTATCGAAAATATATTCTCACGCTTCATCTTCAGGTCACGTCAACAATCTTTACAACACATGTTTTTGGAAGCTGGTTTATAATGGTTCCTTGACTCCATCCGAAGCGGAAGAGCGGCTACGTGTAAGCCACCTTTTCTCTAAAGTGTCAACTTCTAGTCTCTTATGCACGCTCACTCCATTCTGGCAAATGCATAATAGTCATAAAACTTCCCCTCAGTATTTTGAAGAGTACAATGATAAGACGAGGTCCGGAAGATGCATGCATTTTGTCTTGTCGTCAACGCCGATAGCGATAACTGGTAATTACATACATTCGTTTGAGATTGCAAAAATACATACAAACAAACGAGAAAAAGGTGGGTCTCTCGACCGTACATCCAAGGCAACCAGAAGCTGGCCGATAACTGCTTTTGGATGCAAAACACCAGTTTGATCCGACTTATCGCGCCTACTCCAATCGGTGATCCACCAACCTCGCACATAGCCTCACTGGTGTCAGGTCTTCTGTGGCCAGTGATTCGAAGAATCTGGAAAAGCTTACGTAAGATTCCAAATATAGGTGCTGCCTCCATCTCTGAAGCGCGCTGAGACCACCAGGTTTCGCGGTCGTTACACAAGCTTTGTTTGAGTAATTGGCTGAAGTTGCGGCGGACTCCACCTCTCCTTGAATCAGCTGCGATGGCTTGTCGACAAGCACTTCCAAAAAAGCAAGCAGAGATCCAGCCTGTGAGAGGAAGTCCACTGATTCCACAGGATGATTGACCAGAAAACAACCTTTTCTGTAGGAAACCCCAATGGCGTTCGACGTTTTGAGTTGAAACGCTAGCGAATGTATACGGTAAGACTAACAGGGCAATTGTATTTAAGGGTTAGCTGACCTCTTGGCATCCAGCGTACTGTGCTTTGGTTACGAGGAATCACCAAAGATCATACAAATGTCCGCACAGACCAGAGTGTGATCTGAGTCGCGGTAGATAGGCCAAATCGATCTGCAATTCCGTACACTGCCTTGCCATCTGAAGCTAATTGCAGTATAATCGATTTGGACCATGCTTGCGTTGGCGAAGGTGGACGGATGTGGCGGCTCGTCTTCTCGAGGGCTTGAGAGAAACAGGTGGTTGCCCTCACTTAATGTGAGAAGTCTGTCTCCGTTATCAAAGCGGCTCTCATCAAAAGCATGCTGGCCATCAAGATGAGGTTCGCATGACAGCATGCGACCGATCGGTACACTGGAGTCCCCGGCAAGGGCGACCGCATCAGATTTTTCGGCTTTACTCAGTATTTTATAGAGTCTGCGATGAAAAGTCGGATTTAATTGCTGAACAGTTGCATTCGGTGGGAACGCACGCAGAGATTATAAACAAATTGCGTCCCTCTCCACGATCTCTGTTTATCATGCATGAACCTTGCAGCCGAACTGCGCATAGTCGACTTTCAAACGGGCATCATTAGAGCAGCGAGGCCTCAGCTTGGTCACACAGTGCGATGCCAACACCAGCCAAGTCCGCTGTTGCTGTTTCTGTGTCACCAGACAGACGCAGGAAATATTTGCTTCGGAGATCAGCAGGGAACGTCAAATTAACCGTGGTACTGGAGTCCTGTAATCGTGTCTCGGAATGGCAACCAACATCGAAGCGATGGACGCCAGGGTGTACTCTGTGCTAGCCTACTGCCAGATCTGCGTGGGGGTTCGAACATTAAGAGCTGCCGGCCCGGCATGAGGATCAATATCGATGACTAGTCGGACTACTTTGACGTCGGCGAGAATGGCACCGGAAGTACATTCAAAGAGACTAGAATTATTACCGAAGCTTAGTCTAGCGTGTGATGGGGTTGTGTGAGCAATGAAGAAGTTATGAGCAGAAACGAGTAGCGTCGTGGTATGTGCGGAATCCATCGTTCTGCCAGATGGCGAGATACTACGAGGTTGTCACCATTAGGGCACAGTCATACGTCGATTCGTCAGGTGTTGTTTCCCAGCCTCGCTTCGCTTGGTAGGTCTAATATTGCATGTATCCTGTAAGGTTTTTCCGTTTCAGTGTAGCAGAAGACATCAGCCATACGCCGGTAAACCGTACCGACGATTCGCTGCCACGAACCACCACCAGTCGCGCGTGAGCTAAGAATACTGTGAGAGTTGCCCGGTACTCTACACAGGCCGAACCAGTTGACAGGCTTCCAATGCAAATGCCTTGTTCTTTCGGCCATCGGTCATGGACCTCTCACATGTAGTTACTGTCGCCCGCGTGATCACATAGCGCTGACTTTACCATGATTCACGCGAAACAAGCATGTGTTAGTCATGAACCACACGGTTTGAACTCAATGTTTTCCCTTCGTTTCTTTACGGCTTCCATATTTGAATTTAGTCGATAACAAATGTTCGCTTTCGGATGTGACTTCTTACACATTGTAGTGTAGGATCAGGATAGTTCATGAGTCAGGCTTCTCTTTGCCCAGAGAGCAAATTTAATATCACAGTTTACACTTCCCTTCACATTTAGCCCGAGCACGAAGTCTGCCAACCCAGGTCAGTTGGCCCGATGGATAGACGAGTCTGTTTTCTGTCCCTTGACCGGCTCAGTTGCCTTATCGACCGGATTTTTTTTACCACACATCACGCGTTTTCTTTCGGTCTGTTACCTTAGAGCGAACATTTACACTGCATTTCAGTTCACCTGCTAGAGACATTCCTGTTTTTTTTGGAGCTGCAGCCGTCATATGTGCCATTCAATCACTCGCTGGTTGATTGGGTTTTGATCGCCAAAATTTAACACAGCTACGAAGTTTTCTCATCTGGCCTGTGTTGAACCAACGGGTAACAGCCTCGTATCGATTTTATCTCGCATTGATCCATACCACGTGCCTACTCATCTAGCATGTGAACACTGAGTGCGGGTAATCACGCTACGGATTTGTAGCGTCAGGGTAGATTGAGTACTCATCGGCGCGATTGCTTACGCTTGTTGGCAAGGAGCTCAATCGATCTGACGATAAAATCCAACTTACGCCCCAGGACAGCATGTGATTTCATTCCTGTTGCTTACTAGCACAACCGACGGAACATGTCAACCGTGTCGAATGCTGCGCGTACGTCAAGGAAGTAAACGATGGTACGCCGGCTGAAAGCTGACAGTGCATAAGCATCTGGCAGATCGTAAAGCTGTGATCAATGCAGCTCCGACCTGGGCGAAAATTAGTCTCTTGTTCTCGTCTGTTCTCTTGTGCTCGACTGAGCCTCCGTAAAAGCAGAGAGGCGAGCACTTTGAACGCAACGCATACAAGCCGATCCCGCGGTAGTTGGCACAATCCATTCGGTCGCCTTTCTTGAAGATAGGTACGATGTCCGTCAAGTCCCAATCAGATGTAATAAATGTTGTGGTCCAATGCTCCAGCAGGAGTGTAGTCAATTAAGCAAAAACAGACGAACCACCATTCTAGAAAGGATCCGGAGTCAGTTCGTCAGGGCCGGAAGATTTGTGACGCTTCAGAAGACTGTTATAGGCAGCCTCGGCGTAAGTTGGCGAACAGGTACTTATACACCAGGGAAACCCGTGGATACACGAATGGCAACTCGATGGCTATGGTGACCACTAGAATTGATGTTGGAAATGCTCTGCCTAACGTGCATATCGGCGTTGACGATTGTGAATTGGTACAACGTTGTTTTCACATACCACTACGGTTACAGTATGTAACTTGTCACCGGTGGATCGGATAGGAGAAAATAATCTGCAGAAGTTCCCTGAGGATGCAGCCAGTTCCTTCTCGATGACTCGCTGCGTCCAACAAATGACATTCGTCCCCTAGGAACTGTTTAAGGTCGACGTTGGTAGCTTTGCGCCATGCGTTATACTCAATACCAGCAGGAATTGTCCGGTGGTCTCCTATCAGTTGAACAGATTGAGTGAAAATTCATCGATTCATGGTGTGATTAGCGGAATCGCAACTGATGCTGTCAGACTTGTGCAAGGTACTCCGGATGTGTGTCCAGTGCGCCTCGATATATGAGAGTGGAGGGCGCTTCAGATTAAAAGCCAAGGTAGTTTGAAAGGCACCTTGAGTAGTTAGAGCGACAAGTTTGACCACTTTGAGCTATTTCAGACGACACTCTTGTGTGCCACCAAAGCAGAGGGCAGCTTTGTCACATGTAAGTGCGTGATCAAAAGTACGATAACTACTCCAACTTGATTTGCACTCCGTTATCCAGCCTCACCAACGGTAACGCATGGCGATGTGGTCAACCTGCGTCCACGACTGTCCAGATGAAAGGGATCGCCAAGTGACACGCTGGCGCAAGGAGCGCCGAAAGTGTGTACACAACAAGAATAAAACGTGGTCTGCACAAAGTTGTAGAAGGCGATCTCCGCTGTCCATTCTGCGAGTACCAGGACCATGCAGACTACCGGGGTTGTGTTTGTCAGCTTTAAGCCAACCAACCTGTGTGTTTACTTCGCCGGCGGTCACCATGGGTTCGTGTGGCGATTCTTATGAAGAAGGCGTGATAGCTGACGGTAAAGTTACTTTTTCCTGGTTCCGGACTACAAGCTGCTAAAACAAACTAAATTCTTTTGGTATACTTGCGGCTGGACAATCGAAGGGAGCTTGCTAGCTGAATTGCACGAACTCGGCTATTAAATGGGATCCAATCAAGTAGTGATACTTCACCGCGCGCAAACAACGCAATTCGCACCCTGGCCACGCCCGCGGTTTCAGCAGTTGCGTCTCCGAATAAACGTAGTGTGAATGTACTGTCGGAGTACGCAAGAGGTTATACCAGTCGTAGGACTGTGGTGGAGTCCTTTAAGCGAGTCCCAGCGAGGCAACATAAATCGATGGATATGATTTCCTGAGTGCGAGCTAGAGCGGCCTGCAATCCTATCTTCCTCAGCTTCCGGACATTTAAAGTGGCCAAATTGATTTGGGTACGAGGGGCTAGAAATGTCCTGTCCTTGCGATTGCGTGACACATGGACGATCTTGAACTGTTCATCAACACGGTTAGAAGTTTTTTTCTCAAGACGACACGGTGTCGGAAACCTGGCAAAAGACGGGGATTACTAATTGTACAAAGAAATAACAAACTGCACTGCGTGTACTTCTTCCAATGTCCCAGAATCAG